GCACTGCCCAACATCATCTAGACATGAACCAAAATGGATGATTATAAATGAATTGGAGAAGGAACTCACTAATCATCATCGTAACAGTGACTAGAATTGTTGCTGTCAAAGTGATCGCTAAAATGCCGGTCGAAATCCATAAGCGGGGTTTCTTCTCGTAATCAACCACGAAGTAAAGCGCAAATGTCCGTTCGACTATCGCTTCGGCCAGAAAAATCAGTGATGACAGAAAGAAGTATGAACGAATTATCGACGCGATAAATAATAGTATTTTGGAGAATGAGTTTCGATCTATAAATAATGACTATTAAATCGTGCTTATACAAGTTTGGACCAAGGAATATCAGTAGTACTGAGGTCAGCCGTCGCTTCATACCAGTTTCAACAATTCTACGCCTTTTCTTCCCCCCCCCACCCCTCTTCTCTTCGACGGGGCATGACATGAGCACCACCTCCAAATAGAGAATCAGAAAATTTCGAAACGACATTGACAGTTATGTGGCATGTATAACTGTACTCAACCGCACTTATCTCGCCGATTCTGTCAATATTTCGTGAAATAGCGAAAATCTCTTGGAACGACCCCTCTGCCCTTCTACTACCCGTCAGTTTCCGCACAAGGGCTCCTCAAAAATGTGTAGGATCCTCGTCTTATGGGCCCAAGGCTGGTGTCAGAGTCCTCGATGCCGCGCGATTCGCGTAAATCGCGCGACGGATCGCAGAAATCGCATCTGCTCCAATCAATACTCTCTCTAATCCGAGTTGCTCTCTAATCTCGCCCTATTTCTGGTTGATAGATGATGGAATGACAACTAATCATGATTTTGCTTGCTTCATATTCACAGATGGGACACTTGCGATTTCTGCTATTCGCGCTAATCGCGCGACGGATCGCGGACTCTGGCACCAGCCTAGCGCCCAGTTGACCGTGGTCAGTGTCTCACTCATGTGGGTACCTTACCGTCGAAATGAAATACTCCGACTTGGTAAAGGTGCATCACCAAACGTGAAACAACAGCAAAGTAGTTGCCGCTGAGGTAGACCTGAAATATTTGTATTAGTGGATTTTTTTTCGAAAAGATGAATAAATAAAAATGCATCCCACGCACTAATGTGTGTCCTACCACGTCCTGGGCGTGGGTGCTATGGGTGCAAGTGGCGCCGCTTGCCACGCGGACGGTCCTCCGATAAAATCCCATATCGCATGCTGTCAGTGTCAACGAAGTCCTTCATCCCACCGGTGTCGATTAAATGGTATCAGGGTTATTTGGGAGGATAAAAGCAGTGCCTTGTACATCGACTGCCCCAAACATTTGAATGGAAGTAAAATCCAGAACGCATCTCAAAAAGGCATTTTCTGTAACGTACAGAAAATGAACTACCCTTGTTTACTCCCAACAGGCACATTGTTGATATCCACTGTTTTCATTCTCATTCCAAAACACCATAGATATATAAGCTTCAGACGCTAGTGGGTCTCAATTTATTTTGTCTCTCTCTACTGTGCGACCAGTGCAATAAACGTTACGACTCGATTCCTGGAGGCAGCAGTAGAAACAGGCATTGCTCAGCGCTACATTCATCCATACGTCTTCATAATCAGCAAAGGTGAGCTATGATTACTTAGGTAACGTGAGCTGTTTATCTGCCTCTCATTCCCATTGGCCTACTTCAACGTTGCTGCAGTACCCATCCAGGCATTACCTGTGCGATTCGGATGAGATTTGGATGAAATATAATGCTTCGCGTTAAGCAATAGTTGTGTAGAAGTGTGACCGGCAGGGAAAATGAGATGGCGATAAACTCGATAATATGAATAATTGCTAATAGGTAGTAATTCAGTAGATCCGGAGAATTCTTGCTGGGAATGAATACAGGTGCCAGGAAAAATATGTCGCCATACAAATGATACGTAATCGTGTCAATAAATACCATCACACTGCGAACGATATAAAACAAAACCTGGAAATGATGACTACTGCTTCTCAGAATCGATCTCATTCAGGAATTGATTCTCTCTCGAACTAACGTAAGCGTTGAAACTTAGAGGATCGACACGATTGATTGTAGAGGGTAGAGAATGGAATAGAGGTCTTCCGGTGTCTTTGAGGAAGCGATTACGGTAAAAAGGGAGCGCATCGAAGAAAGCTGTTAGGCTGCTTTCATACTTCGCGCGGTGCGGTCGATGCAGTCAGTGCCGACGGCGCCGACCGCACCAACAAAGCGAAGAGCCTCAATACGCGCACTGGCGTGATGCGTACGTTGGGCGCGGATGGCGTGCTCCAATCGATAGTCTTGGTTTTGGTGTATTTCTATGTATTGTTCAATGTTTTTTGCGCCGTTTTGCTTCTATTCGTGTGTTTTCTTTTCATACATATTCTTTAGTCTTGATTGATACTTTCAGTTGTTCCCCGCACTTCTCAGAACCCCGTCGTACAACCCTCGTACAACCCCGGGTGAACGTGGCTGTATCGGGTAACACACGAATAAAAGCCAAACTACGCAAGAAAACATCGAACAATACAAGAAATACACCAACACCAAGACTATCGATCAGAGCGCGCCATCTACGACCAACACGCGTCGAGCACCAGAGTGCGTATTGACGTTCTTCGCACTGTTGGTGCGGTCGGCGCCGTCGGCACTGACCGCACCGACCGCACCGGCGCGAAGTATGAAAGCCGCCTTACTTCACCGAGGCGTGGCGCTTACGACCAAAGATGGGCTGGTTGCTGAGCAGTGCTTGAAATGCGCTCCTGCCAAAAAGCGTTCCAACCATTAGTTTATTTGGTGATTTGGACGAGCGCTGTTGCCAGCAGCGGCACAACTGGAGCAACTCTACTGGATCATAATTTGGCATGGTGTTATCAAACACGTTGCGGTGGACCCGTTCATACGTTCTTCGTCTTAGCCGCTGCCCGTCCGTGAGCGAAAATCAATTGTAAGAAACGTTTTGCGTTTTCTTGACGAATTTCTCTGCTTTTTCGCTATTAACGTATCATTAAGCATCCCCACCAAACCCCTTCAGAGCCTATCGTAACCGCTACCTTTGAACTTCTCTCCTCACTGAACTGAACCTCTCACTTGCTTTTATCTAAAGTTAATATAAGTAAATAAATAAATAAGTAAATAAATAAAATAAATAAATAAATATGCATCCACATTTACGCATCATTTGAATAAAGGTCAGAGAAGTGACGCATATCAGACAAACGCGGACCACTTTCTTCTTTCATCAAGGAATTTGCAAGTAGGGTGGGATTTCTGAAACCGTGTACAGCAAGCCCCAACTAGGGGATGGGTCCCCAGAACTCTGCCTCTCTGGACTCTTCCCCTATTTTTTAGCACGAGAGTTGCGTCATCGACATAGCAGAGATGCAGAGTTTTGGGGACCCATCCCCTAGTTGAGGCTTGCTGCAACCGGCCCCTGCTAAGTTGAGCTCTTAACCACTAATCAGTAGGCCAAATATTTATTCATTACAATGATAACAGTGAAAGTGTGACAAAGTTACATCCTAACTCTCTGTTTCATGAACAAAAAATGGGCTATCAATGCGAACTCACTGACCGAGCTGCTGTCAGCCGAACAGGTGGAATTTCTCTATTAATTTAGAATCAACGATCACGCGGAAGTGTTACTCATATAAAGTGGTCCGAAATCGTAGAAAGAGAGAGAAAGTGAAATCATTGTGATAGCTCCAAGCATTTCATTGTTTTGTTTGCTGTTGCTCTACCCTCCTCCTCCCCCCCCCCCCCCCCCTCCTTTGCTACCCCGAACCGTCCTCTTCCGCTGCGCGACATCTCATTCAGCGTGAAGAGGACGTCATGATTTCGCCGTTTTTTGGAGTACCAGAACAATTAGAATTGTTTCACAATTGCGTAATGGTTCGCACAGAACTGTCAAGAACACTGAGATAAAAAATTAGTTATTTTTCTTTCTAAGGCTTCGTTCGTGCCGGAGTGTTTCTAAACCCCCTCCGTCGCCGGCACCATATGTTCAATGCTTTGAGAATTAACTTGGGACTGAGAATAACCTTTTTGAAGTGGACGCAATCATTCTTACAATATGCAGTCAACTGCGCGAGTTCTCAAATTTGCTTAAAGTACCATTGTCCGATTTCATTCAAAGAAATTCCGACAGGCGCCTCAATCTGTTGCAATGAGTCAGAACGGAAATTTTCCAAAAAAATCCGTGTAGCAGCCTGTAGTCGGACGCGAGAGCGTTTAGATTATGGACCGAACAAAGAAGGATTTCGACGTCGTCCAGCTCTCAGAACTTCTTTGAATTTCTTCAGCACCGTATTTCTCGTTTTATTTCTCATTGCTTGGCGTGGGTTATGCAGGGGGGGGGGGGGCAAAAAAAGACATTTTGCCCATGTTGCACTTCGGCACTTTTTTCTTCACAGAAATTGCTGTCGGTGACGGAAGTTCTTTGGCAAAACGTTCCCTAAATGTCCCTCTATTAGTAGGCGCATGCCCTCATTCAATGCCCTCACAGTCTTCAGTATATGATGTCATCTGTCGACGTCGTCGAGCTCAAGGTGGTCTACAGTAATTGCTTCAGCCTGAAGCTTACGTAATTTCCTGAATCGATTCAATGTGGGATAGATTCCTAGGGACATTAGCTCTAAATATGCAAACCCCCTCAGAACCCGCTTTTCGGAAACCTTCGTAATGGTACACCATCCGTCGAGGACCCCATTGAGCTCGACCAGTGCACCATGTTTCCGAGGCAATTTTTTCTGATGCCCACCCACGTAGATGGGAACTATGAAGAATTTCTTACGAAAGGAAGTGTGCTCTTCAATTATAAGTTGGGTGCACTCGCTTTGATTTGAGCAAAGTGCGACTAAAACGATTGGAGTACGGAGACAAAATGTTTTTTTTATTAGCCCACCCCCTGTAGACCATAACGTCTTTTCAATGGGTTCACGGTCATTGAAAAGCCGGAATCAAAATTCTCCCGAGAAGATTGTGAGGCCACAAAAATGCAAAAGATTTGCACCAACCGGGAGTTGAACCCGGGTCTGTACCGTGGGAGGGTACAATGATACCGCTACATCATTGGTGCCACCGATAGAAGCATCACATGCAAGCACCGTGACTGTTGTAGTTCCTTTTCATCTTACATGTGATGCATAAGGCAGACTTATTGATGGGTTTGCATGCATTGAGAAGCCGTAATCAGATTTCTCTCGAGCAGATCGTTAGGCTACAAAAATGCAAAACATTTGCACCAACCGGGAGTTGAACCCGGGTCTGTACCGTGGGAGGGTACAATGATACCGCTACACCATTGGTGCTATCGATCGAAGCATCGCATGCAGCCGTTATGAATGAAAGTTGCTCATTTCTCATTTTGCTCGAGAAAATAACACAGCAGTAGAAACCCGAAAAAAAGGAAAACAGAAGCTGAACCGAATCCCTCTTGGTCATTGTGAGGACCATAAAGGTGAGTGGACCTTGCTCAACTGGATCCATGGTTGGGACGAAAAAATTCAATGACATCACTAGGTATTGTTCCGAGGGGAGTGCTCAGCAGAACACCGGGCTAAAATTCTTATGAACGCTCTCTGCTTTTAACGCTATCCCTTAATCTTCAAGTCCAGCGTTGGGAACGTTTAAGCCATTCAGGCTCTTGATAATTTTCACGCCTGGCCCTCATCTCTGGAGTTTCTATCAGCTGTGGGTTTGCGATCTTCTGCTGCCAGGTTCGGGAAGCCGCTCTCATCCTGGAGAGCGGGGAAGGGAGACCTTCACAACAGGGACGACATTAGGACAAAGCCCAGGAGAGGCATCCTCTTCCAGAACCCCTTCCGTCCAAGCTCAGTTCAAGGCACAGTAATCGGCCCACTCACTTGAATGTCGCCCCCACCGCCTCGTCCCAAACGACGTGAGCGCCCTCGGAAACATTCGGAGTCTCTCAAACTAATGTTAGGGATCTGTACGATTTCGTCTACCACCTGATCATTTGCACTATCGATAACAGGCTTGCTCTGTCCAATCTGAACAATGTAAATGAAAGGCGAACTCACTAGCCGTTTGAGGTATTATGCTTTCTTTTGCGGATAAAGTTGCACCAAAGTAGATTTTATGGATCGCGCAGTACCGATAAGGCGCTCATTTCCTTAGGGGGGGGGACATCACAGCAGGGTCGATGGTAAGTGACACTAGGATTAAGCCCAGGACAGGGGAGGAACGCTAAGGAGAATACATACTGCTCACATGTTCCATCCAGGATCCCTGTCATTGTCCTAGGCTTAGTCCCAAGCACAATAATTGACTCACCAACTTAAATGCCTCCCCGAAGGACATGAGCGCCCCGATAATCATACCTTTTTTCGCCAGTAGTTTTTCGTGGGCAATTTCGTAACAAAAACTGGCGTACATTTATTCGAGATCACTTATATGATGTCAAATGGTTGGGTTTTACTCCTGATCGTTCTGTATCGAGCCGTTCTTGCTTATGATATTGTACATCCTCCGCTCCCAAGGCACTGCTGACATCCTGCGGTAGCCAGACGTCGACAGTACACGACGCCAGTATCTTGTACGCCGTTGATCGTATAGTAACTGCAAGGACAGTCTGTTAGTGATGTTTTCAATTCAGTTGCACCTTTGAGGACTGGGGATCGTCAAGTCTGAACGCCTAACAATTAGTCTGCGCCAGTTCATACAGAGCTAATGGATCGTTCATAGTTGGCGATGGTATGTGCGATTAGGCGAATAGACATTCAGGCGTTGTTTCCAAGAGAAAAGTATGCGTGTCGACTGGGCGAGTAGGCGAGCAGGCGATGAGAAAAGGCTACGTATTGATTTGTTGCTCCGCCTGTTGAGCGGTCGCCTAGTCGCCTGCTCGCCTAATCGCCCAATCGCTTAATCGCACATACGATCGCCAACTATGAACGATCCATAAGACAACCGCAACATGCCTCATTTGACCGGCCCGTTTCAATAGTCGCGCGTTGTTGTCGCGCGCGGCGCGCGATCGGCACATTCAAGCTCCCACAGCACGATTCTATCCTAGCTGGAAACTCTTAGACCTTGGAACTGTCTGCAACAACGTTCAGACTTGGTGATCGTATACTGCGATCAGGCCATTAGGCGATTAGTCTACCAGGACAAATATACGTATCGAATAGGCGACTAGGCGACTAGGCGAGTAGGCGAGTAGGCGATCGCTCGATGGGTTGAGCGAGAAAATCGATACGTATCACAGTCATATCGTCTCGCTTACTAGGGCAATAGCCTGCTCGCCTACTCGCCTGATCGCCCAATCGATACGTATTCTTCTCTTTTGAATCATGGTCTAATCGCCTGATCGTACTTATGATCGCCAAGTCTGAACGCTGCCTTAGAGTTATCACCTGACATACTTTTGAATTTCCGCAACTCTTTCGTATCCCATTTTCTCATAAAGGCGAATTGCGGCCAGATTTGTGTGTAGTACATGTAGATATATCTGAAAAGTAGTTGATTTGATGGGATCATTCCCTGGAAGAATTGGAGGCAACTCACTAACTGACTGCCTTCTTGTAATAATACTGTACTGGCACGTTGCAATAACTGAGTACCAATGCCGATCTTTCTATACTCAGGTGCGACCATAAGCGTTGTGATATAACAGGTCTGAGAAGGTGGTTGGTTTTGCGTTTAATCCCCGATCGATATGCATCAAACACATGGGAAAAACAAACTTTTCTGAAGTTACTGATCAGTTTTTGCTCTTCAGGGTGAAGAGATCCCGCAGTAAAGTAGTCTTTCACATTTCTTATCACACCAATAGCACCAACAAGCTTGTCCTCACGGTTATAAGCACCTGATTACGGTAGGAGATAGTGCAATAACCTGGTTTGATGGGTCTGTACTTACCCAGTGAGTAGTGAGTAACTGAGTCGGTGGCGATACTCAGCCAGTAGGATTCGGGATATGGCAGTGGAAGACATTGCCCGCCTAATCTGTAAAACAAACATTCCATATCCACTGCAACATCTTGGAGGTACAGTTGTACAATTGGTGGCATGCTGACTGCGGGTACCCGACAGGAGGCCTGTCATGCGGCGAAAGACAAGGGCAGAGACGGGTCAGCGACAAGTCGCAGTGGCGACATGGGGACGTACTATAGAACATCCTTCGTAATTTGAACCTCAATCGCTACAGTACGCGCTGCGACTCGTCCGCTGACTCATCTGCATCCTTGTCTTTCGCCGCACGACGGGCCTCCTGTCGAGTACCCGCCGACTACCATACGTAGGCTGGCCATACGCAGCCGCGTGCGGTTGCAATGCGGTGGACTCCTTCGGATCATTCATAGTTGGCGATTAGGCGATTAGGCGATCCGTCTATAAGAAAATATACGAATCGATTAGGCGATTAGGCTATTAGGCGATTAGGCGAGTAGGCGAGTAGGCGAGTAGTCGACTAGGCAATTAGGTGGTGAAGACTACATACGTATTGATTGGGATGCTCCGCCCAGGCGAGTAGGCGATTAGGCGATTAGGCGATCGCTCGAAAGGCGGAGCAACAAATCAATACGTATCCTTCTCTTATCGCCTACTCGCCTGCTCACCTAATCGCCTACTCGCCTACTCGCGTAATCGCACTTACGATCGGCAACTATAAACGATCCATTACTGCGAACCCCTCACATGGACCCGCCGAGGTGTTCTAATTGCGGCAGTCGGGTCCGGTTCCGATGCGAGGTTTGCCTCCAAAACTGCGACCAGTTTCTTGAATCATATTCAACTTACTGCTTTAAAGCTTCGAAATCGTTAATTGTCAGTTCCCGATAGGTAATATCTGGCGGATAAGCGCTCATTGACCGAGCGCACGCCACCAACGAGTAGATCAGCGCTAGCAAATGAGAAACACCGCATGTCTATTCATTCTTGATAACACTCTGATTCTGATAGTGATAGTTATCAGAATAATTCACAAGTTCTTCTCGAGTAGTCGCCGACAGGGCGCGATATCTGGCTGCAATGACATGCAAACACAAGCGGATTCAGGCTACACCCATTGGGCCTCCAACCAGATATTGGGAAACACAAGAGAAAGTTGTAAAAATAGACAGGCGGGGCCGAACTAAAGGCTGAACGTGGACATGAGTTAGTCCCTAATTGCAAAAAAAGCACCATTCGGTCATTCATCGGCAGCTTCATCGCCTTGCCCGTCTTGCCCGCCTCAACTCCATTCGTGTTAGGTGCAGGGAAGGTACTTGTACACGTTCTTGCAGTTCATCGTATCCTTTCTTTTTGAAGGCATTGGTTGGGATAAGACTGTCAAAGAAACCTCTCCAATCACTAGTGTGGCTGGGAGTGCAACTAAAGGATTGACGCCACGCTTCTGACTCGTGACAGCGCGACATTAACGCCTCCGGTTTACTATTTAGAGCGCCTGACATGGTCTATGCCCGCCCACCGCGGAAGGTGGTGCATGGCGTGAAATTAGCTGGGCTGATTGCCATATAAACGGCTGGCACGAGCCAGCGTGGCTGGCAAGTCCGGGAAACTCGTTCGGACATGCCGTCCCTCCACGCCAGTCCCTTGTTTCATTTTTGACCTTGTCGACGGCTTTTCCACATTTTTTCTCCACTGTTGTTCCATCTTGCATCTCTTCACTCACTTTCAAGCGCAAATATACTCCAAATCGATCCCGACCCGTGCCTTTAATTTTTGTTCTGAGGTTCTTCAGGCAGGCATCTGAACCGATTCCTTTAACAAGTCTGAGCACAAAAAGATGGCAAGATTTTGAAAGAATAGAGCCGTGAAAGCTATTTGACGAATGCTGTGGATTCTTTGTTGGGTCACAGCCATGAACGGGGTATCAGCGAGAGGTGGTCGAAGTGAACACGGTCACAGCACCAGTGAAGCCTGAAGGAGGATTCCATGAAAATAACAAAGGTCGAATAAGGGGAATTTATCTAGTGGAGAGACAGGACCTCCAAAGGATGGCGACCGACACGCAATTTGCATCGAAGGATATGTCCCTCGAATCCCCCGCAATCTGGCATGGTCCTTCCGTGGCCCAGTTAGCCTGGAACGCCCTCTTACCGTGTCTGCGTCTCGTGTC